ATCCCAGCACGAGAAATCCTGTTGGAGGAAATACAGCATTGGATTTCTGTCATAAAAAAGAGATTGAGCCCACGAATGAACGCGCATAATGCTTGGACGATAGAGTTCAAACGAGATATCCCCAGTCAAGTGTTCCGTTTAATTTTAAAAGCTGTACAGAGAGCTCGAAGTGCATTTGGCATGTCCTGTACAGAAACAAGAAAAACATTTCCATTCAGTATACAGAGAAGAAACGTCTAACCAGAGACTTGACAGGATTGGGGCAAATAACTCGAGAAACATTGTCAGAATTCTTCAACCGAAATTTTCAAGGAAAGAGGAGAGGGAGCGCAAATGTTATTTGCAACAAGGAGAAGCCTTTTTCCATCCAGTATGAGCGAAGGTCATCAAAAGTTATTGTGGAGTGTCATTACACTTTCACAAACGAGTTTGATTTTACTTTTGAGAGTTAGTTTTATTTTTATTAGGACAATGTAACACCAAAGGACCCTTACTATGTACCTGCCATCCTCGGAGACCTAGGGGCAGTTAGTCTCCAAATGGCTCTGCGAATGCTGGCTCCTGATTGAGCAGAAAAAAAATCCTTTGTATTATTCTGCCCCATTGGTGTACAGTTACTTCACAGTCGCTTTCATGTCTTCTTACACAGCGTTTGTTTTATCAGCCATAATTTAATTTTAATTTACACCAGTCGGGAAATCATTTCGGATGTTTCAGAAAAAAGATTTCGTCCCTATGATTTCTGCCCGGTTTACTTTGTTTTGCCCAGACTAACTGCTCCTGGGTCACCGAGGATGTGCACATCCTGACCTGCCAATGTTAAACTCAAGGGTGGTCAAAATGCTATTTGAAGACATGCTGACCATGATGATTATTTTAGAATGGAAAAATTAACTACTTTTACCAGCCAGGTTGCTCTTTGACAGACTGATGGTTTCAGACAATGTCACGAAAGCACTGGCAATCTTCCCCTCCCCCTGGGTTTACACTGAAGGTGCATTTGCATTTATACATTTTAAATAATGTATTCAGTTTTTTGTTTGCTTTTCAAATGAGTCAGTATAATGGTAATTGAACTGAGTGGAGTACAATGTGGTATGAAGTCATACCTGTGATTTCAAAATTGAACGAGCATGCAGTGCATGTTTATTTGAAATCACAAGTATGATTTCAGAACAAAACTGCCTGACACAAACTTCAATTTCCACTTTATTGCATTATAATGGCTTCCTTTCTCATTGGCTGAAAAAAAAAAGACACAATTAAGAGCAAAAATAGTGCAATAATTTTGTTGAAAAAAATGGCACTGCTGAGAGCCAATCAGATAATATTGCAAGGATCTCAGTTATTTCAAAATGGATGTAATAAATAGATGAATCTTGCAGGCAGCAGCATGCAAGCAACCACAATTTTCTAGTGCTTGGTTATTCAAATATGGTACATTTGTTTTAAAATTCATGAAAAGTAGGAGTTGTTTGGTTAAATGTTTGAGCTAGTTGCATATGATTAAGAAACCCTGCTAACAGTACCTGCATTGTAATTAAAGAAACAGACAAGCTTATATCAATTTTTTTTATTCTTTTTGAAATTACAAGCACATTGCTTAAGAAAACCAGAAAGGAACCGTAAATGTATGCTACTGATAAGCAAATTACAAATGTTGTTTAAAGTATAAGGTAACAAACTTTAATGTAACATTGTTAATGTAACAGAAATGTATGCTATTGATAAGCAAATTGCAAATGTTGTTCAAAGTATCTGCTCACATCTTTGATTGTATTGCTAGTATTACAAGTTAATCAGTAAACACACACTGACAGTTGCCATAATACTCTAGGTTTAAAGTAAGGAAACTTTAGCATCACCGTCTTAGCTGTGGGTGACATTTCCCCATTTGGATGCAGCTTTACTAGCTTTGTATTGGCATGTGGTAAACCCATTTTCTGGTAACCAAATGAGCATTACAAACTCATGCTGAAAGATATCAAACCATTGGTTTTTAGATGAGCTGTTCTCTGACAGTTTCTTGAGGACAATATGCTTTGCTTCTCTCCCCTCCATTGTCACTGTACCTAGTCCCTGGTGATATTTCTGGAACAGGTGTTTTGCATGCTGAGGGACAACATGCCCGAGTGTCCAAACAGTTGGTGTGACCATAGGGGGGAGAAGCAAAGCATTTGCCCTGAAGTACTGTTGACATTTTACTCTAAGCTCCAAGAGCTGCTCAGCTGTAATATCAATCCGACTAAACAAAGAAACAGATTCACACAGCCTTACTCCAATATATGCATAAACAAGAACTGCAAGCCTTTGCTTCCCAGAGTCATCTTCACATCTCAGTTGTTTAATTACCCTCATGAAGTTTTGACAGAACATTCGAGACTCCTTTCCAGTAAATCTATATTGAAGCTCAGCACCCTTCCCCTGAGTTTTCCCGTAACATTTAACTACTTTCCTAGCAAGGCAGGAACACTTCAGCTCATACCGAAGAGCTGTTATTACTCGGTGAAAAC